CACACACACAGACACAGACACAGACACAGACACAGACACAGACACAGACACAGACACACACACACACACACACACACACACACATAAATAAAATAAAAAAAAAAAAAAGAAAGAAAAGAGACTGGAGTTTTGATGTTGGGTCCCTATGATAACATGGAGAGAAGACCCATAGGTTCCTGCTGTTGTGAACCAAAGATATAGAAAATCCTGCTCTTCTTGAATTTCTTAGTGCAGATAAAGATCTCTACATACGGCTGTCAAACAATAGCTTCATTTTAGATTAAGTTCCAAAATTAAAAATAGCAATATAAATGCCATAAAACTTCCAATTATAGTAGGACCAATGAAGACTAGCTTCATTGTGTGTCCTCTTGCATTGGCTTCTTTCTGAAAGACTGTGAACGTGCTCATCTTTTTCAAACCAGGAATTTTGATACAGAGGCAGCAGTCCAAGGGAGGAGCTAGTAAAGGAGATACAGGATTGGAAAAGATGGGTGATAGAGACCCTAAGGTCAAGGTTTTATTTATTTATTTTTTGTATTTTTAGTACAGGATCTACAGAGTCTATAGGGTCTACAGGGTCTCTCTGCGTAGATAGGACTTGTAATGATACTCTTGTTTTCAGCCTCCCAAGCGCTGGGATTACAGGTGTGTGCCACCATGCCCAGTTCCAGTCGAGGTCTCAGTGTGCCCCTGGGGGCAGGGCAAGCTCGGCAGTTCCGAGGATAGAACTCCTGGCCCCTGCAGCTGCCTAAGTAGCTGTGTTAGTATCCACTGAACTATTTGGCCAGCTCTAAGGTTTTAACCGTACAAATTGCTTGAATGTGGGATAAAGAGAAGTCAAAGGTGATACTAGCTTAGATTTTTAGTTAAGAAAGATATTGGAAACATTATAAACAAGGACATTCATGTACAGTAATTGTTCAATGGGAGACATAGAAACATAGGTTGTGGCACTACCTGCGAGCCTAAAACAAGTAGCAGGGTGGCAAATCAGAGGGCAGCCTTGCTAACATAGTGAGACACTGTGTCAAAATAAAAGGGGCTGGATGTGTAGCTCAGTGGTAAAGCACTTTTCTAATATACATGAAGGGGCTGGTGAGATGGCTCAGTGGTCTAAAGCACCTACTTAGAACAAGCTTAGCAAAGTACAAGGGACAGCGGTTCAATCCCCCAGCACCACATGCCAGCCAGCCCTGCCCCCTGGTGGGCTGAGCTGGCCACACACACACAAATAAATAAATAAATATTTAAAAAAATATATATATACATGAGGCCTTGTGTATAATCCCTAGTGCTTAAATAAAAAATTAAAAGAATAAGGAAGCCAGGTCTGGTGGCGCACACCTAAAATTCCAGCACCCTGGGAGGCTCAAACATAGGAAGGCAAGTTCAAATCCAGCCTGGACAACTTAGATCCAAAAGGTTGGGGATATAGCTCAGTGCAAAGGCCCTGGGTTTAACCCCAGTACAACAACAACAACATTAATTATGGAGTTCAGAGGAGGACTTGGAGCCCATCTGTACTTTCCACCAAAAACTGTGGTCTTTGGCCCTGGCTTTATTTTAGCTTCTTAAAGTTTCAGTTCTCTGTCTATAGATGGATACTTCCCAGTAAGATTACAATAAGACTGTGCATATAAAGGGTGTAGCTTATTGCCTGGCAATTAAGTATTCATAAAATATGCACTAACAGGATGATGATGCTGTGATGCTATCTAGAAGCCCATGGGAAAGCCAGGACTGGAGTGCTGTCGAAAGAGATGTCACAGGTAGAAGTGACACACTTTAGCAGGTGGAAGCGGCAAGGAGACAGTGAAGTTGTGGGTCTTCCGAGTTTTTGGTAAATATCCATTTCTTCCTGATGCTGGGTCATTGTTAAAATCAAGTAAATTGGCCTTAGGGGCAGCAACATGTTAAGTTGCTTAATATATAGATGATTGACTGCTCTAGGGAGCAGGTATCTGCATGTCCAGCCAGTGTGGAGGTGAGCCAACGCCTGGAAGTTCTTCTCCGTCTCCTGTCAGGCCTCCTCCCACACTGCCAGGCTCCTGCCTGCTGCTGCCACACTCTGCTGGAAGCCAGCCAAGCAGATGAGCTGTCAGGATAGGGGCTCTCTAGAGCAGAGATACAGAAAAAAAAAAATGCATGTTGTCTGGATTAACAGTTTCTCCATTTACCTTTTCTGGATTCTTCTGGTTTGTAAAGTTTGCTTTTCCGTTGGCTTTCCTCAACAAAACTGCAGAAGGATGTGTTTTTCTACACATACAATGGTGGCTGGACTTTCAAAGGGTGTATCTGTTTATAGTAACAAAGGGGAAAGGGAAGGAGGAGGTAGATGTAATGGGGGAAGAGCAGGAGATGAAGCAAAGAAAAAAGGTTCAGAGAGAAAGGGGCAACTTGGGGATGGAGGGATGAGGTGGGGGCTCCAGGAGACAGGTTGCTAGCACTTTTGTTTTGTAAATGCAATCCTTAACCCAAACTGTCCCCAGTGGGAATCCAGCCAGTCTTGTTTTTTCAGCCTCTTGGCAAAACTCTGGGGCTGGGCTCCTGAGGGCCAGGAGGGCCAGGGGTCAGCAGCTGTGGAGCTCTCTGAGATGCAGTCTTCTTAAAGTACCAGACCACCCAAGCGCAGGGACCTGAGTCAACCTGGCTTTGTCTTGGGTTTCCTGGAGAGGAAACTGTCTTTTGGAGATAAAAACTTTTAGGGGAAAAAGTGTTGAAGCAAATTTGATCTTAGACTATTCTGCAATTATACACTTTAAAAGATGGTTATAACTCCTAAATTAATAGTAGTGAGCAGGTAAACTGTCCTCCCTCCAGCCCAACCCCTTGCTCCTGATGTCCAACAGTGGACAGAAGCAGTTATGAGTTCCTTTGGCTTAGCAGACATGTACTTTTGGGTTCAGAGTTTTTTTTGTTTTGTTTTGTTTTTTAACGGTGGCCTTTTAATCCTTTAACCCACACAGCCTATTAGCCTGTGGTTTTTGCAAAACCCGGGGATTATTATTATTTTATTTTATTTTATTTATTTATTTATTTATTTATTTTTTTTGCGGAACCAGGGGTTGAACTCAGCCAGACAAGCACTTATTCTACTGAGCCACTTCCCTGGCCCCCCGCGGATTATTTTTTTACAAAGCATCCATCCAAACAATTCTGCTGTTTTCAAAATTGCAGCCACCTCACTTTGGAAGGGTCGCTTCCCAGGACGGGTTTATTTGTAGACTGCGGAGAGGGGTGCCTTCAACTGCACCCTGCAGGCTCCAGGCTCCATGCGACCACGCTCAAGTAGAGGGGGCCCTGGTTCCACAGCTATCTGGAATGGAGCATTATCTTCTCACTTAGCACAAGGCGGGGCGGCGTTGGTTGCTCGTAAGTCCTGGGTCGCGGAGCGGGACTCATGTCTTGCCTTCTTCCCGCGCTTCCCACAAGCCCCCGCGCTGGCCCTGCGGCTTCGACCCTGTGAACCCCGAAGTGGCCCTAGGGCGCTGTCAGCAAAGCTCCGAACGTGTCCGCCCCCTCAGCGGGCTCGCCCACGCCGCTTCGGCCATTTCCGGCCCGACGCCCTTCGGCAAGTTCCGCAGTCGCCTGTCGGAAATGGCTCCCGGCCGGCAGGGGGAGCGGCGGGTTCGGCGCGGCTTGGGAGGCGCGCGGCCGGCGGCCAGAGCGGCTTCTGGGAAGCCGAGTTTCGCGCAGACGGCGGCGGCGGCGGCGGCGGCAGCTGGTCCTTGGTCTGGAAGCTGGTAGGGCTCCGGGCGGCGCGCGAGCGTGAGGAGCGGGGACCGGGTCTGGGGAGGACGCGAGCGCTGGGATGCAGCGGGCGGGAGCCGGGCGGGCAGGCGGCGGCGGCGGCGGAGCCGAGTAGGCCTGCTCCGCGCCGCGGGGACCTGGCCCAACACGCGAGGCCTCCGCTGGGTGGGGAGCGCCGCCCCCGGCCCCGGCCCGGGCCGGGGCGCACCTCCACCCGCTCGCCTGGGCGCTCGGCCCCTGCCGCCCTCCGTCGTCCTCCGCCCTCCTCTGCCGCGGCGCCGCCCGGCTGCTCACCGGGAGCATCTCCTCTGCGTCTGTCCGGCTGTCGGCTCCCGGTTTCCTCGCGCACACTCCCACCTCTGTCCGGCTGCTCCATGCACAGCCGCCTGCAGCCTCCCTTTCCCAGGCTCGCGTTCCTGAACTCGCCTTCTAGTCTGAGGTCCACTTCCTGCCCAGGGGTTCAGTTGCTGCTGCGTCGGTGCTCTTGGGGCTCGGGAGAGGGGCAGCGGGGTGCCCATCCGCACCCCAGCCATACGAGGGGACAGACCCAGGCCTGGAACCCTTGGGCACGAGCCGGGACTGGGGTGCTGCTTTCTCTGTTGTCCACTTTTAGCTCCCTTTTAGCTCCCTGTGGCCATCAGCAAACCAGAATTTGGTGGGTCCCTTCCTGCAGCCAAGACTGTTTTGTTTTCCCCTAAATTATATTCTAAACGTTCTAAAGGCTTTATCAGGTGTTCGTGGTCTGACTCCTTTGGTGGAAGGTGAAGAAACGTGGGACACCACAGGTCCGTTTTTTCTTTCCTTTATGTTATTTAAGAGGTATGTTTAGCATGTCTTCTGTTTGTACTGTTCTTCCAATTTAGGTAGCTTATCTTTTGAAGGGCAGACCCCCCCCCCCCGGAGGCGGGGGCAGTCTTTTGTTTCTTTTTTTAAAACCCTAATGTGTGGCAGACCTGCAGACTGCCTGCACTTTTCCATATGTTGCCCATCAGTGAGCCGTGCCCTCTAGTCCGTGGCGCCTGCGTAACTGTCCAGAGCCTGAGCTGGAGATGTGTGAGGCACTTATAGCCATGAGGGCAAATAGGCATTCTCAATAGCTTCATTACTGTGTTCTTAAACTCGTTTTCTGGTGTGTTAAAACTACCTTATCCTCTGGGAATTTCCCCATCTCTTGCCCTTAGTGAGCCTGGGGAGTAAATAGTGTGAAAAGCTAGACCCAAAGTTTTCTTGAAGAGGATTAGAATTGTAGCTCTTTCACGTTTTGTAGACCTGTAGTTAATAAGCTTAAATGAGAGGAGCTTAACAGACTGTTTGAGAAGCTTGTCTTCATTCCCTCATCTCTCAGTTTTTTAGGGTAAAAAAAATGCTTATTAAATATTTGTGCACAGTTGGAACCTCTTAGTAGTTAATTCTCAAGAGTTTTCACCTGTGAGTAAAGACTAAACAGGCTAGACTGGGCGTGGTGGTGCGTGGTGGTGTGTGCCTGTAATCCCAGCTCTTGGGAGGCTGAAAACAGGAGGAGACTATGAGTCCAATCTGTGTAATGAGACCCTGTAGACCCTGCACTAAATACATTTTAAAAAAAAGAGAGAGGGAGAGAGAGACTATACAGGCTAAAAAGATAAAGCAATTTTCTAGGAGAGGGCAAGATTCAACAGAGGGTGTGAAGCCCTCACAGGAGCCTGGCAGGCTGTAGAGAAGGCCATGTCCTCAGGACAGGCCAGCTGTGGGGTGAGTGGCATTGAAGGCTGGTGCAGGGTGAGGCAGTGGCAGCTGTCTCTGTGGGGCTGCAACTGCCGACCAACCTTCCTGCTGAGAAGCCTTCTGGGAATGGTTGTTGGTATTGCCTGAGGTAAAGCCAGGAGAGAAGTGAAGTGTCCACTACCTACATAGTTCTGAGTAAAGCCACGAGTCAGAAGGGTGAGTCCTTTTCAAGTCTTAGGATTGTCTACTGATTTCTGCTGGAAATAAAGCTCAGCTCAGAGAATTTCTCTTAACGTATTTCTTTCCTTTGTTTTTTCTCCTAATTTTTGGTAACTTTCTTTTGAAATCCTGTGATGAGGCAGGTAGCTAAACTCAGAGGAAAGAAAGGAGATCCTGTGAAAATAACAAATCTCTGGGAGGTGGCATTGAGTTTTCAACTGGAATAGGTGTGCTCACCTGTGAGCAACTTTGTTTCCTGTATGTGCCAGTCAAATGTGTCTGTATTTTCAGTCTTCTAGGTGTGGTGGGTGATATAATTTGGTTGAAGAGAAACAAGATTTAAAAAAATCTGTGGTCTTGCATGTAAAAGATAAATTTGGAGACTCATGCAGTAACAGATTCTCCTATGGTTAGATCATAGTGGGGGGTATAGGTTATTGCTTGGAGATGGCCAGATGACCCGTATAAATCTCAGGATGGAGCCAGAGGAGGATGAGCTGAATTGAAAGCAGTATATGCGTAGTAGATATCAGAACTTAATATATGCAGTAGTACCTACATGTAATCCATACCAAGTCAGTGAAGCTGTGCTCCAGGGCAGCTTTACTTAGAAAACTAGGCAGTACCTGTAGCTTGCCCATGCCTGCCCTTCAGTATCACCAGTGTGCGTACACACACGCGCGCGCACGCACCCCCCCCCCAGTACTTTTGTATATTCTTCCTTTTGATGGGGTCCAGTACCTTTTAGCCTAGTCAATGATATTAATGATTAACATTCTGGATGTTTGCTTTGTTGACAATTTTCACTGTTATCTTAATCTCTCACATTGTCATTTTAACCCTTTTCTCTGACTTCCTTTCTTCCTTTGAGGGAGGGAAAGTAAAGTGAAATAGATTGGGAAATGAAATAGGTTGGGAATATGGCCTTAGCGTAAGAATAAGATACACAGACATATGTTATTATGGTGGTAGAATACAAGAATGGTTAAGTTCTTTGTTGGTATATAAAGCCCCCCAATTCCCCTCTTACGGTACTGCGGATTGAACCTAGGGTTTCATTGATGTTAGCAAGCACTGTAGCGTTATGGTATCTTCCTAGCCCCACATTTTTCTAATACAGAGTTTGATTTGTAAGGTCACCGAGAAGAGGGAAGGGTAAACATTAACATATTTCTTTTTTTTCAAGGGGAAATAGGAAGGAAAACTTGGAGGAGGGTAGGTTATTTGACTAATGTAGAAAGTGGCAGAATACTTGAACTGGTTAGTAATGTATACTAACCTGCCCCTATGTAAGTTTTTCTCTTGAGTAAGGGGCTCACCATGCAGTTCAGGCTGGCCTTGAACTTGTAGTGATCCTTCTGCCTCAGCCACCTTAGTACTGGAATTACAGGGTGTGCACCACACCTGGCTCTCTATATAAATTATTATTATTATTTTTTTAATGAATTTAGGATAGGGTCTACAGGGTGTACAGGGTCTTACTACAGAGATCGGACTTGGAGTGATTCTCCTGTTTTCAGCATCCAAAGTGTTGGAATTGCAGGTGCATGCGCACCACTATGCCCAGCTCTGTCCGTCGTCTCAGTGCCCCCAGGGTGGGCCCGGCGTGGCATGTCAGGGATCACACCCTGGCTGCTGTACCCTGCTGAGCTACCTGGCTGTCCCTCCATATAAATTCTTAGTGACATCTCCCCCTCTTGGCAGCCCATTTCAGTTTGTACTCAGGATTCTGCGAGATTTTTCCTTAGATTGAGGTGTGGTTTGCCTCCCTAAAAATGTCATCCTTTAGGTCCATATAGAGCAAACCCACTTCTGTTCATGTGGCAGTTCTCCGGATATTTGAAGATTTGTGATGAATAATTTCTTTCTTTTTCTTTTTTCTTTTCTTTTTTCTTTTCTTTTTTTTTTTTTTGGCAGAACTGGGGTTTGAACTCAGGCCCTTGTGCTTGCCAGACAAGCACTTATTTTACTGAGCCATCTCCCTGGCACCCAGACTTTGTGATAAATAATTTCTGATGCCAGTAATCTCCCTTTGATGGTAAATAGACTCATTTTGCTAAGTCCTTACTGGCCAGCTTTCTTCATTTCCTTGACTCTTTGGGGCTTCCGTACTCATAAAGATTGCCATCCTTTAGTTGGTCCTCTGTTCCCTGAACTAAGTACTCCTTTTTTCTATCAGTCGTATTTGATTTGACAGTTTTAAGTCTGCTTGCCAACTTCTGAGTCCTGTGCCCTCATTTACTGTTTTAATGGCCCTCTTAGAGTGGAGTTCTCAGAATGAATACAGTATGCAGTCTACAGTGTTGGCTGACAGTAATCTTCATTTCTCTTCCACATTCCACTTAGTTTTTAATGAAAGCAAAACAAAAGTTGATAGGTTTTTTCCTAAGCAGTTGTACACACTTCAGTCACTGAAATCACAACCTTCTGGGTGTTGTGCTACTTTTTTTTTTTAAATTTTTTTTTTTTTTTTTTTTTTTTTGTGGAACTGGGGATTGAACTCAGGCCCTTGCACTTGCCAGGGAAGCACTTACTCTACTGAGCCATTTCCCCAGCCCCTGTTGTGCTACTTTTCAGCTAAATCATTTCCATGTCATTTAGAGATGTCTGTGTGGAACTTTGTCTTTATCTCTATTAAATTTCCTCTATAGAAATTCCAGATTGATAAAGTGTTTTTATATCTTAGGTTTTCTCCTAATCTGAGTTTACTCCTCCCAGCCCAACTTCCTTTATTTCTGAGGCTGTAAAATATAATCCTACTGAGGCTATGAATGGAAAAAATAGTTGACAGGGCCCCAAGCCATTCTTAATGGATTCAGTGGAAAATTAAGGGGAGGCCTTTAAAGGGAAGCATTGTTTGAGATCCTGGAAGTGAAAGGAGGAGGAAATGTTGGGCATAGTGTTGCTGCTTGAGTTGATGTGTTATTGAGTTTTTTTTCTTCAAATTCTGTGTTTCCTGGGTGCAAGGCAGTTGTAAGTCTCAGGTTTTAGAATCTAAAAGGATCTTTGAGGCCTAGTTCAACCCTTCAATTTACAAGTTAAAAGAGGACCAAGAGTTTATGAGTCAACA